GGTCGGCAGTGGGGAGACTAGGACTTTAAAATTTGCCACTCAGGCAAAGTCATGCACAAATGCGAAGATAATAAGATCTAGTATAATAGCTATTGGGTGTCGTTTGTTAAAAACATATAAATTAAGTCACCTTAATTTTTCAGATTGACTAAATTTGAGGTAATAGCACGAAAGTGGCACATTACTCACAAACCCTGTTATTTTCCATTTAAAGAACTGTTTATTACAGCCACGTTTATTTCCGAGTGCTTTCAACGTCCGTCACTTGTTAAACCACACTTTTATGCAGGCTTAAATTTGTCGGAAAAAACGGCAAGTTGAAATTGGATCTATCGAAGACACAATATGGCGGATGGATTGTTCCAGCACCGAGTTTAGGAAAGCGTACATGTGGATGTTAGGCTCTGTTGGTTGTCGAAGCCGTTCGTGTTATTTATATCGTTTACAATTATGCTGCTATTGAACGCTTTCTTAGTGTTTTCTGGTGTACCTACGGTCCTTCTCGGGTTGTCCGAGGGACCTCATTGGTATATTCACGCAGATCAGTTTCATGTATGTGTACGAGGGTGGAGCTGCTGGGTTACTCTTTTGCGTTCCTTAAATGCCTCCTGAAATGTTTTTATCTCTTTCAAACAGTCAACGCTTTCTTCACTTAATGAGACCTAATGCCTCGATTTTATGCTCGGGAACCAGACTTGTCGGTAGTAATAGATACTAGTTATAGCGTACACAATCTGACCTCTGTTTTCGGGTTCCAGTTTACTAAGTGTTTGCTGAGGTTAAATTTCCGTCCAGCTATATATATTATGACGGTTTTGATGTTTAATGCATTTTCTTTGGTAAACAGTGCTTTCAGGTATTCTCCCTTTAAACTGTTTGGATGCATTTGACTTGTACGTTTATTAAATCCCAATGGCAGTAAACTATAGAAAATAGTCATTCTCACCAAAGAAACAGGCACAGCGTATTGCTCATTTTTCTCAATTATAATTATCCTCTTTAGACTCATCGCACTGGACCAAAAAAATAACACTCTAAACCATGCGCTTTGCGCTAATCGAAAATATGTAGCAGAATCCTGGACACTCTTTTCCAATTCGTGTTTCTTATAACTTTGGGAGTTCTGAGTGAGAAAGCATTGCCACAATACGCCATATGGTGCTGAGTTCATTTGCGTTTAGTTTCCAGCCCATATATCTTCTAGCATGCATAAAATCTAATGTATCTATAGCAGGAAAAATTAAGGATTTCCGACATTAATTTGGAGTGGTGTATTGGTAGTCCGACTAAGTACCCTTTCTCGGACTGTTATGTCCAGGCCTTTGGAATGAAATATGCTTTTTATGTTTAAATTTAACATTAGGACCTGGATACTCATCTTATTTAAAGCTATTCCAACGTAAGCCTATAGGAGGTCTGGCTCGCGAGAATCCATTATATGAGTTTTTTGGAAGGCCACATTTTTTGCCTGGTTAAATGGCACAAATGGCAGTGCAGATGATCAAGAGGGGGTTAGCTTAAACATCCTTTCCGACCCCTAGACACGAAGCGGTGAGCAGTCCCCTCCCCCCACACTTCTCTTGCCTTCCACTCGCATGTCCTCATCGTATCATAAAAATCCTTTAGGTTTTTGCACAGCATGCCAAACTTTGCAGAAGGTTTGGCAATTTGTAACATTTTACTAGTGCTTAACAGTTACTGGATGTTTTTTCTATGTGATATTAGTGCACAACTGTCATTTGGTATTGGTTATGTACACGTTTTATTTTTGAACATCTGTGGTTGTCCACGTTTTTCAAAAACAGTCTTAAGGGATATAATAGGGGTAAGGAAAATCCGGAATCCTTTCTAAGGTATGAAAACGTTATCGATTTTTCTCAGTTGTCATCGAAGAATCCTAAATAAATACGATATCGCACATTCTACGTCACTTCCTATGAAGCCAGCAGACGGCTGCGACCAGCGAACTATTTCAGTTCGCAAGCCTCATGGACTGATATAAATTAGCGTGTTATCAATGAACTATTAGTAAATTATTTTCCGACTTAAAGATGCAATGGCCGTATCAAGCCTTAACCTACAATGGTTCTTTCTTACCTCTTTACTTCCCCATTGCTATTTACTAGCAGATATTAATATGGAGAAATGTGTTGTTTACCCTAGGGCAGTAATTTATCTACCTATTCAGGCAACATTTTACTTGGCTTTGTAATTGCGAGAATAATTTGTGTTTATATCAGCGAAACGCTCATTAGGGAAAGCAAAATCTCCGCCCTAGGTACCGTAGGCCTTCTGGATTTTAACTTAATTTAATTCACCTCTCCGTAGTCGTCCTGTCATAGTAATCGGCGTATTTTTAAATTTATTAGTAGTACTTGATGTTTGCTCTCTTCAAAATCTTGTACTGATCGACTGATATCTTCTGCTTTTAAACAGAATATAAATCTGACAAGGAAGTTGGTATTCTCGGTCTAGAGTTTGTTAAAATTCTGTTGCATCTGAAAAATGCCCCTAGTTATATCCATGTCAACGAGAACGCAATTACATCTAGGTGAGCGGATTACTTTAAATGCGATACTGAAGCATAATTTTCCATAAGAGCAACAAGGTGATCTCCAGGAAACAGTTTCGAGGGGGGGGATACGACTCCAGAAATAAGTATTATATCCACACGATTACAAGTAGGCTTATATGATTCATTTTCAGGCTGTCGTGGATCCTTATTCTCAGAGTCAGTTATGCCAAGCGATTGAATTTCCAGTACAAAGGAAATTGGGACTAATTTTCACAAGTGACCTAAGGTCTGCTCAACGTCCGAATTTCTTTTGAGGATTTGGCTCAATATAAAGCCTGATTTCTCAAGGCATAATCAGAAAAAAATTAAATTAAAATATGGGTCCTGAACTGCAGCTACCAGTGTGGAAAATTATGACTTGGTGATTTCAAATAGTCATCGTGATAGGGTGCCTTTTTAACTTTTTCTAATGCCGAAGTCAGGCTGAAATCAAATTTCTGTGCTAGAACAAAGCTGAAGATGTTTTATGTCTTTTGGTGTTTATGTAGAAAACGAATTCAATTAAAATTACCATGATGCCGCACTCAGCGGCTTGGTGAAGTGCTCCGTCTTCAGAGATTAGGTTTCCTGAAAGAATGGAACTTTTGCATGCAGCGCCATTACTCTTCATCATTTTCCGCTTCTTCCATCCGCGCAAATTTAGCCTAATTGAGGCCGAAAATTTCTCACTGAAGTCCTGATTTCCAAGAAAGCCACTCAACATTTGATGTTGCGCATAGTTCCACTGAACCCTGAAGAATTTGTTAAGATCGTATTTTCTGCTCCAAATTCCAGACCTCTGGCCTGCAAAGCAAACTACTAGAAGAAGCAACCGCTCTTAAAGTATCTGCTTTCGAAATTAAACAATTTATATTCTTAAATCTGTTGTGTCCCCGGTTATTCTTATAATCAGTAGTATATAACTGGACAGTAGTAAATGAGCAAAATGCAAAGGATTTAAATCTCTGAATCACTTTTTATTCAGCTTTCGGCAAAAGTGGCCCAGTTTTGAAAATGAAGCAGTTCTATAAAGTTGACCGTACTATATTTGAACTACGGACTTACAATTTTAGTGCGAAAGCTTCTTAGTTGTTGGAAATCCCCTTCGAAAACTGGGGCCGATTTCAGGTCAAACTGTAGTAAGGCAGTAAAGATTAGCAACGCAGTAACTGTTCTTTCACGTTTCCTGAGACTCAAATTCTTTGCGACACAACCTTCTTCTTTGCTGAATACCTTTAAACAATCAAAATAGTCACATGCGATTCGCAGTGAAAGCAGCTGTGATGAGAAGTACCATAACCACCGATACACAATTCAGTTTTACTTTTTATATGGTTTTAAGTAATAAAATGTGTAAGGTTTCCGTAAAATGTACAGATCTGTTGATGAGAATGGAGATTTCCCAGCCGTAGAAGTTGACACTTAGTACATTATGAGTGAGAAATATTTTCTGAGAAGATGGTGTACAGTTCTGAAAAAATTAATTAATCATCTCTTCATAACCTAAAACCTATATTCTTTCAAACGGATTCCGAGTTTTTCTGACTCCAGTATGAAGTTTAGGGGCATTTTTAAAATTTTAAACCGATGCTCTCGCTTTATATACGGTCAATGAATTAGGATATCACTTAGCCTACTAAGATATATTATCAAACAAAAGGCCTTCCTGGGCTCTCTGGAAATCTCTTTTAAAAGTTCATAATACGTACTCAATCATAAAACAACACCTAAACTCTTTGGAACTTAGCATAAGACCCGAGGAATAAAAAGGTTCTTACACTTGTGCCTTGCTCAATACTGTATAGGAATTTATCCTCGAGAATGGTTATCAGAGTAAAAAACTGACGGGCTGGAGAAGCGTTAAGATATCCATGACCCGCATTGTAGGCATGTAAAAGATCGTACATGGCTCTCTCTCTCCCTATGCACGTCATTTCGAAAAGTCGATTGCCTAGTGCTCAGTAGAGGCTCTTGCTTTAATCAAGATCCAGGCTCGGTTGGTCCGGGTACCGGCGGCTGCCAGGTTGACCTTCGAAACTACTTCAAATACTGAGGAGCCACTTATCGTCGACTGTATAGCCCGTCGCGTTTTGTCATTGGGCTCTTAAGCACCGAATAAAGCGTACAATGTTGTGTGACGACAACAAGTTTGCTCCACTCTTACCCTTCTCGGCCACATAAACTCCGAGACTTTTTCGTTGCCACACTGTGGATTAGTCATGGACTCCTGACCGACCAAATTGTGCACGAAAATAACTCCAGTCAAGGTCTCTCTCCCTAGCCCTCCGAATCTGTAACTGCCTACAGCTCTGAGGAAGGCAGCAAGTCAGTATGGACCCTTCTGTGATTTAACGTCCGTTAACATACCTCTCCGCCATGCTTGTGAGGACTCAAACAACAGACGACGAGAAACACTTTATTCGACAACGCGTCACCTCCTTGCTGATGACACACCGTCCAGCCCAAGGTGTGTCGAAGAGTGAGTCACAAGCCATTAAAGAACTACGAACGGATGATCATATAATCATTCTGCCAGCGGATAAGGGACGATCAACCGTCGTAATGAACCGTGAAGACTACAATGAGAAAGCTAAAAGTCTACTTGATGACAGAGATTTCTACAGACCAGCACACAACTCAGAAGCAAAGGCAGTAGTTAATCGGCTGAATAAATTACTCGGCGAATTCAAACGCCAAAATGTGATCACTGAGAACGATCGGCGCCTAATGAAACCCACAGATACTGCCCTGGCTCGCTTCTATGGCCTGTCAAAGGTGCATAAACCAAACGTCCCATTGCGGCCAATCGTTGCCCCAAAAGGCAGCCCTACCTATAATTTGGCAAAATGGATGTATTCGAAACTAAAATTCCTCCAAGAAAACTCTGATGCCTCAGTTTGTTCAGCCTCCC